GGAAGGAAGGAAGGAGGAAAGAGAAGGAAGGAAGGAAGGAAGGAAGGAAGGAAGGAAGGAAGGAAGGAAGGATGGGAGAAAGGAAGGAAAGGAAGGAAGGAAAGAAGGAAAAGGGAAGGAAGGAAAAGAGAAGGAAGAAAGGAAGGAAGGAAAGAAGGAAGGAAGGAAGGAAGGAAAAGAGAATGAAGGAAAGAAAGATGGGAGAAAGGAAGGAAAAGAGGAGGAAGCATAGAAGGAAGGAAGGAAGGAAGGAAGGAAGGAAAGAAAAGAGAAGGAAGGAAAGAATTGAGAAAGAAAGGAAAAGAGGAGGAAGGAAGGAAGAAAAAGAGAAGGAAGGAAGGAAGGAAAGAAGGAAGGAAGGAAGGAAGGAAGGAAGGAAGGAAGGAAGGAAGGAATGGGAGTTGATAGAAGGAAGGAAAGGAAATTGAAGGAAGGAAGGAGGATAAGTTAAAAAAGAAGAAGTCATTTATGCAGTAAGAAAGAAAGTAAAAGAAAGAAAATAGTGAAAGAGAGAAAAAAATGAAAAAAATAAAGAAAATAAATAATATATAATAAATGCTAATGTCAGCGTGTCATTGTGTCATGCGTTTTCAATTTTACCATTTTGTCATACCATTTTGGAATCAGGCCGACCCCGAGAACAAATGAAAAACATTCTGGGTCGGACCCGGACTTGCAATCCTGAAATTTTGGATTCCCAAGTTTTCGGCGAATTTTTGCATTATCTTTAGGTTTGCCAGAAATTCCTGACTGACTTAGGAAGCGGAATGAAAACAACAAATTTTGATGTCTGGTGGAATTTCTAAAGAGTACTGCAGTTCGAGCTAGTTCCACAAGATCGCGCCATCAGTGCTAAACTGTATTGCCAGCAGCTGGGCAACGTGTACGACAAAGGAAGGAATATCCTGCTTTGGTCAATCGAGGTTAGGCTTTGTTTCAACAAGACAATGTGAGGCCAGCTTGGCTAAAGAGAAGTTTAAACAGATGGACAGTGTTGGGATTCTTCCATATCCACCATTCCGTCTTGATGCTGATCTGAGTGACTATGGCACACTTCCTCCGCGACCAACGATTCAACACTTTTGATGAATTGAAGGAAGCTTGTTCACAGTTTTTATTTTTTTATTCAAAGCCAGCGGACTTGTATCTGCGACAGATTCAGATGCTGGCTGATCGCTGGCAGAAGATCATCAGAGAATGATGGACTTTATTTTGAAGAATAAATGTTGGTGGTTGCTCCATAAGAAATTTTTTTCGCTTCCTGAATCAGGATTCCTGGCCAAGCTAATAATAATTAACGCGTTGATAATTATTTACATGTTTTTTACAATCATGTAAATAAACTGAGAGATTCAAAAGTGTACACAATAATGACAGTAACACGTCGTTCTTTTTTCAAGCACGAAGGTTAAATATTGCCATATTTTTTTTATAGATTTACATTCTTTAGGCCTTGACACTTGAGGGAATCGAAAATTATTGATTTGTTACCTATTTAGAATGGACATCTAGTTTATAATATCGATACAGGGTCAAATCGAACCCCGGGTTATTCGACGAAGTCACTAAGCTGTAGAGCCCCGTCTCCTCGTATGATCAACCACAACGATAAAGATTCAGGGAAGAGGCCAGATTAATCACGATCCGACGCTTGCCAGGTAGGCGGTCAAGGCGACGTTCTACGTTCAAGAAGAAGTCGGCAGCCCGAAGCACAGTGTTATCATGAACCTGTCTGTCAAGACCTGGTTTGCCGCAGCGGATAGTGACAGCTGAAGTGTGTGCGCCATGGACTGGCCACACATGAACCACCTCAAACAATTCGAAGCCAAGGCTCTCATGCTCAAAGACTTTTCTTTTCATGTCCCATGGCAGGACCGAATCAGAACGAACAAAGTTCTCCGCGTAAAGAGGGAGAGCCAAGTAACCATGACTCGTCACCGACTAGGATGGGCCGGAAACCTTGCCCGAATGCCAGACATCTGCTTAACCAAACAAATCCTTTTCTCGGAGTTCGGATCTGGTAAAACGAGAACGTGGAGCCTCTCGTCGTCATCGATTCAGCTCCAAAACACCTTGTTGAGGACAGAAGTCAGTCAGTGAATTTAATGGATTCTACTGGGGTAATGGATAGCGGCTCGGATTGTGGAATCGGAAAGCCGAGTTCGAATTCCAGGAAAAGATATGAATCCTCTTCTTCCCGCCCACCAGCATAACTGACTGTCTGAACTTGTAGAAAGAACCATCTGGAGAAGAGTAATCCGCAAAAAAAGCAACATCCTTCGAAATAACCGGGAGATAAATAGAAGAGACGAAAAGAGCCCAAAGAAAAGCCAGATCCCACTCTCTTATTTTGAGCGTAAGGAAGGAATCTTCCGTAGTGTTGAATGCTTATAGAAAACCAGAATTAAAGACAGAAAAAATGGAAAAAAAAGGAATAAAAGAAAGAAAAAAAAAGAGCAAATATATTCCTTCTATATTTTTACAACTTTAAATTTGTTTTAACATTGATGTATTTTTAAATATTTTTATTTACACAACTTTTTATTTGCAGTCATTTTGCTATTTGACGATTTCGCATTTTACCTTTCTCTGTCTCTCTCTCATTAAATATATATATATGTGTGTGTGTGTGTGTGCAGTACTTATTGGAAAACGCATAATATCAGTGATAGAGTTAACATATTCAGTCGTATGGCTATGAGTTTGTTTAGGTTTCACGCTTTTGAGATCAGCAGACAATTGTCTGATGATTGCAAAAGCGTGAAACCAGGGTTATAAACTCATATCCATACGACTGAATATATATATATATATATATATATATATATATATATATATATATATATATATATATATATATATGAAGGAAGAATATATCTATATGTATGCATAAAATATATGCATAAAGAAAAAAATAAGGTAGAATGTACACACACACACACACACACACACATATATATATATATAAACACATATAAAGGCACAATATAACACAGAGAGAGAAGAACAATATAATGTGTATATATATATATATATATATATATATATATAATGGAACAATATATGCACATATATATCTATATACAAAGAAACTATCTCCCTCTCTCTCTCCCCCATATATATATATATATGTGTGTGTGTGTGTGTGTGTGTGTGTGTGTGTGTGTGTGTGTGTGTGTGTGTGTGTGTATACAGTGGTCCTTTGATGCATTCAGTCTTATTTTATGTCATTTACACAAAGAAGCATTTCGTTTCCCTTGATACGTGAAGAGATATCGCTGTTTCAATGACCCACTGACGCTTACACGTTTCAAAGATGGCGTCATGCTTTCATTAAAGTCGCTCTCCTTTGACGAAATTAAAATTTTAATCCCATTGATTGGAAACGAAAAAAAATAAAAGACAATAGAAATTTTTTTTTTCTTTTACATTTTTTTTTTTTTGTTTTTGTGTGCTTCCCAAGGTTTAGTCTCCCCGGATTTTCCTCCACTGAAAAAGTAGACAAACTTGCGCCTGTGTACGTCGTAAATACTTATCGTTTTATTGCATCACCAAATTATTTTTGTCGTTTCGACTTTCTTTTAAATAGAAAACAACTTACACCTTCACTCGAACTTCAAAGCTAGTAAACGGATTTGTTTCAATTTATTTATTCACTTTTCGAAAGCTTGTCATCAAGCGCTTTCCTTCAATTTATACCTTTTATTTATTTTAATTTTTTTTTTTTTCTTCTTACAAAACGAACCTAAGTAATAAAAATAGGGTTGGCCTACAAGGAATATTTTTCTCTACTAAAATACATTACCTAGGTTTTCTCCTCTTGATTAAAATGAAGTTCACCGTTAAGTTTGCTGAATAAATTGAGCATTGGGGTCATAATGTCGGGCAAAAAATAGGGGAATGATATGTATCTAGTAAACTGAATATTCGATGTCAAAGTGAGGGGCTCAAAAATCAGGGTTCATTTTGGCATTATATGTATCTAGCAAATTGAACATTCGATGTCAAAATGAAGGGCTCAAAAATAAGGGTTCATTTTGGCATTATATGTATCTAGTAAATTGAACATTCGATGTCAAAATGACGGGCTCAAAAATCAGGGTTCATTTTGTCATTATATGTATCTAGTAAATTGAACATTCAATGTCAAAATGAAGGGCTCAAAAATCAGGGTTCATTTTGGCTTAACCATGATTTTCTAGGGGTGGGGACTGGAGGTATTTACCGCCATACCTTGCGGGAAGAGAATTAAACAGAAAGCTTTTGTCCTCAACCCATACAATGGTATTAAGTTTGTCAGTATCGAAATATGAAAGAAAATTGATCCGCTATCTCTTGGCCATGATGAAGGTGTAGTATCTGTTTCTCTTTATTTGAAATGGGAGAAGGTGCTCAGCCCCGGAGATTCCAACCCTATAGTACAAATTCCGCTTCCTAATTAGCAAACAACTTGTGTTAAATCCTCTTTCGGTTGTTAGATCCTGTTTTTGATCAGATAAGAAAGGCTGCATTATTTTTCTAAAAACTTTATTGTTATTAATTTTCAAGATAAATCAGAAAACTTAACCGGATCACTGGACCTAACTAACACATGGCACAGTGGATAAAGGCGTTAGTTAGATCCAGTGACAGGACCCAAAGTGTGTGAGTTCAATACCCGGTTAAGGCAGTGGAGAACTTGGAGAGGGGAATCAACAGGAGATAACTGATAACTGACATCCATTAAACATGGCATGTGGAACTAGAACAGTCTACCCCATTGAGTAAAATAAAGGGTTCAATTCGACATTCCAACCACCTGAAGAAGGCCGGAATGCTGTAATAAATATGGTGACAAAGATGAGGACAATAGTCCGAATAATGTAAAGAGTCTAAGACCGTTTGACATAACGTCGCTAATTGGTTAAAAAATATACGAATGTGTGAATTTATATCTGGATTATACTTTGTGATACTATTTAAATCTTTTGAATTTTTCTACAATTTTGAATGAGGTTCTACACATATAACTGTGATTGGTCACTGAGAGGAGGATGAAGGAACAGGACATCTTCTGGGCTTTTATCGAGCCACTCTCATTCTCTCCGTATTCCTTCCACTCGAACAGCTTCTCCCCACAAAGCACTGCTCAGTGGAACAGACTCCCAAGAGGATATTTCCTTGATCACTACAGCCATAACCTGTCTATCGTTAACCATTATCTTTCCCTTCTATTCGTATGAACTTCGCCTCTTACTCTGTAAACCTCTACCTCGAATTGGTCTCGGGGCTTGTACAAGTAGTCCTAAGTGTAAAACAATTTCATATATATATATATATATATATATATATATATATATATATATATATATATATATATATATATATATAATGAATGGACAAAAGTCCAACAATTATTTTAAGACATTTTTATGTTTATACATTCTTTTTATAGATACAAATGCTTGAGAATTTTCACAGAAAATA